TAAGAATAACTCTCTCACCGAACTCGTTTCCTTCTATTTAAACCATACTACTTCCGCTGATAATTTGAATGCTTGCGCGTTCTACTCAAATTTACATATTCTGGCATTGGCAGTTCCAGGGGTAAAGTAAGGATTGACAGGAAAGATAGTTTAAACTTAAAATAAATGTTAGTTAAAATAACTATAAACCCTACAAGTTAGACTTAAATAGAAGACAACACGTCGAAAATATGGGTCTGATTAGAATTAAAAAGACAGTGGTCGAGAAAAGGGAGACAACTGCATCTATTAGTCTTCTCGATTAAAAAGATAGTTAATTTTTTCACTGTAAATTGCACTTTTACCTTTCTTCATAAGCATGAAGTACAAAGCAATGATAGTTTCCCAGCTATCGTCATCATCACTTTTGAGTTTCATGACCGCATTTTGTTTAAGCACTCAGATTTCATCCCATTTCAGTACTACCTCTTTTGCACCCATATTATGCACCATACAAAAGGCAAGTATCAGCAGTCAAGAGTTCCAGAGAGCATCATAATGGAGAGCATTCTTCTTCTTGCCCCAAGCCAAAATTGGGCTCTTCCCAAAATTTAATCCCCGTATAATAGTGTAAGCAAGCATTTCAGACCTGTATCTCAGAGTGAGAGGTCATTAAAGCGCACTAGAAATAGATTTATACTAGCGGACAAGCACGCCAGATAATCGGACTACGGCCAAAAGGTTATATATATATATATAATATATATATATATATATATATATATAAATTTAAATTTTTTTAACAAACACGTAGAAAGTAAAAAAGCAAATTTAAAGCAAAAATATTTTTAAAAAAATTTAAAAAATGTGTAAACATAAAAAGATTTAAATCTCGAACTAATATATATATATATAATATAATAAATAATCGTATGATAATATATATATATATATATATATATATGTATGTATAATAATCGTATATATATATATATATATATTATATATATAATTTATTTCCTAAACAGTATTGATTAATTGATTATATTATCTAAGTTTAATTAAAGTAGAATTATTTTAAAAGTGTGAATCCATACTGGTAAGTTATATTTTGAAAGATGTTTTGAAGTAATTGAAAGCAAAATGTTAATAATGGTTTTAACGGGGACTGGAGTTAAATCATCACGAAGAATAAAATTTCAATTGTAAAAGGAAAAATTAAAACATGTAATCATTGTCATTGATCGGAAATTAGTTGACTTTTCAAGGGGAACAAACCAACTCCCGTTCAATGAACAATAATTGATAAAAATACGTAAATACGAAAGTGTTTATAAAAATAATATAGAAAATAATATAAATAAGATCAGTCAATGTACATGAAGATATAAAGGCTATAGATATAAATACTCGATATAAATACTATATTATTTTTATATTGTCTTTGATTTGTTTTTACAAAGTTTGCATTATTTATCTTATTTTGTAATCTTCTATGTTTATTTCAACTTTACTTTGAATTCGATTTCATAATGACAATTTCCAATGTTTAATTTCTACAAATAATATGTAATAATAGTACTCAAATGCATAAACATGAAAGTGTCGGGGACGGTTACTCGAGTTAAATAGGATTTCTCTACAGTAATTGATTTTTACTCCAAATTGAATTGACTAAAATGCTTCATAAGAATAAGTTCTTTGAGTATCAGCATTGGTTCATAATTCCTTCTATTCGCGGAAATATTTGGCCTGACTAGAATTGCCGGTTTGGCTTTAACTTATAACTCGAGTAAAGACGAAACACTTTCGTATTTACGTATTTTTATAAATTATTGTTCACTGAACGGGAGTTGGTTTGTTCCCCTTGAAAAGTCAACTAATTTCCGATCAATGACAATGATTACATGTTTTAATTTTTCCTTTTACAATTGAAATTTTATTCTTCATGATGATTTAACTCCAGTCCCCGTTAAAATTAAATTTATAACATTTTGCTTTCTAATTACTTCAAAACATCTTTCAAAATATAACTTACCAGTATGGATTCACACTTTTAAAATAATTCTACTTTAATTAAACTTAGAGATAATATAATCAATTAATCAATACTGTTTAGGAAATAAATTATTATTAACTAACTTTGCAGCAATTGCGCAAGTAGTAATAACTTTATTCGCACTAAATGGATTTAAGATCATACAACACTATATATATATATAGATATATGTATGTATTGTATAAAATAATAGTATGAATGAAAGGGGAATATACCTATTAAAATTCCAATATTTCAAAGTAAAACAAAGAAACCCATTAAAGAAAACTATGAATTACAATTTGAGGTCCCAATAAATTCAAATTTACAAAGTCGTAATTTTTAATTTTATGTATAGACATATTATATATTGGCAATTTTTAATTTTAATTTTTATGTATAGGCATTTTATATACTGACATTTATAATCCATGTTTTTTGTAACTTCCTTATATTATATATATTTTTTTTTTTTTCCGTCCATCTATTTTTCATGTGAGTTAACTTTTCACATAACACAACGGTCAGATTAATTAATTTTTTTCGTGCATTAGCAAGTCTTCCAGCACTAAAATTTGGCAGTTCTATCGCGCTTATACAGTTTTTCCAGTTTTACCAGGCAAATTTCTTATTGTTTATGTAGTACTATGTGACAACATTTCGTGGAGCTACAGCTCCTGGTAACTTTTTAGCAAGGTTGCTGCAATGTTCCTACCTACTACTATTCTTTCAAATCTTTTTGTAGCATTATGCGCAAAAGTTTTTGAGACCAAATAGGTCTTACGTCTAATTGCCAGTTCGCTTTACATTTCCTTTTCAATTAATTATATATATATATAATAATTTATTTCCTAAACAATATTGATTAATTGATTATATTATCTCCTAAGTTTTAGAAATAGTAAAGGAAAAGCAACAAATGGAAAAATTACTCTACAGTACTATTAGTCAGTGCTTATAGAGCAATTTTTCCATTTGCTGCTATGGGGTATTTCTCCCTCCTTCCTAGCGTGCCTTCGTGGTGTAGTAGTGGTCAGCACACTGAGCCGGTATTTCAGAGGTCCGTGGTTTGATTCCCGGCGAAGGCGTTGCTAATTTTTCATCTCTCCGACTTCCCACCCCCCCCAAAAAAAACCTATTGTCTCTGCAGTGGCGCCCGAACTAAAAAGGGTTTTGGATGATGATTCCCCTCGCCCAGGATTTGGCGATTGATCCCGTAAAAAACATTTTATTCTACCTTTAATTTAACTTTTCTATCTACCTTTAAATATTACAATTTTGTAAATTGGAATTTATGTGGACTGAATTGTAATTCTAAGTTTTCTTTATTGGCTTTCTTTATTTTACTTTGAAATATTGGAATTTTAATAGGAGTATTCCTCTTTCATTCATATGATTATGATTCATTAAATCATTGCAGCCTAGGCGCAGGATTCTTAATAGTTCTTTCTTCCATTTGTTTATTTTGTTTCGATACACATATAATAAAATCCGATGGCTGCACTAAAATGATTGGCGACCTCAAAATTAACTATTCTAAATTTGATGTTCTCCCCCTAAGTTCGTCTTTTCTCCCAAATTGGAAATCTTTTCTGATTACATAGTACTGCTTGAAAAGAAAAGTAAAACCTAAAATTAACCAATCGCAGCTTAGCTGTACATATGCATCTACCTAGTATAAATACTGCTTCGAGAGCAATTACGTCATTCTTCTTAACTTTTCCTGCCATGCAAAACCTCTGCTGCTATGCCTACTTGTCTAAGATTTCGTCGCACTTTTTTAACCTGTTTACATAAAAATTATTGTATATGATCGAAAAGTATACTGCCCACAAGGAAATGATGTGATGTGTGTAAAAATAAAGATGACTAATCGTTTTTGAGTTATGCCAGACACATACATACATACGTACGTACAAGCATCATAAAAAAATCTCATTTCAGTTCACTTTAAATCCATTTTACAGTTTTAAAGAAAAACAGTCCTTTATTCTGCCCGTACGTACAACTCACTAGGAAGAAGGGGCACCCAGACCTGGCAAGCTCGAGGCTGTCAGGTCTATATCATATATACACAGTTAAATGCCCAATCCCTAGGACGATCCAAGGAGGCATAACCACCTTCCGGTCAACCTGGAGGGGGGCAATTTCAGTTTAACAAAGTATGGGTTTTGTAACGCTTAGAACAATCGTAGACTGCAACGAATCCACCGAAAATACTTAAAACGCATGTTAGACATTGACCGGCTCCTAATGTTGACCAAAGAGAGCCAAACCCACAAGGACCACCTTCGAAATCAAACCATCAACCAAGGGACAGACAAGACAGTACCCTGCCGAACCTGAAACCTACCACCAAATAAACGACGGTTCTAGTCATTGTCAAGAATGTTAATTATTCTCCAGAAGACGAGTCTGTCAAGGTACTGACCTAGCCAGAACGTTAGGATTGCTCCCAGTCGACCCCCCCCGGGGAAGGTGTCCGTATGTACAGACATCACAAAAAAAAAAAAAAAAAAAATCCAAATGGATTCGGAAATGGTCAGAATGGATTTCTATTGAAATACGAAACCCTAAATTTTTCGCGGTTACAGTACTTGGAACAAGGAAATAAAAAAAAAGCACTATCACAGAGCCGGATTTATGAGTCTGAAGTCATCAGGAACTTGCAGGACCCCTTCCCGTGTTTACTATTTAAAAAACATCATCCAATGAATGATTTGAGGGGCTCTTTGAGAGGCACAGTCGCTATTGTGATTTGCGCAACCCCATAAATCCGCCTCTGAGTATCTAATCAGAAGGCACTGTTTTAAATCAACCATATCTCATTTGTACTACCATTTTTGTTTGATCTGTACTCAGTTTTCTGACGACCTCGGCAGAATGTTTCAGAGCATTGTTTTTAGCTGTTTAGCTTTACATCGAACCATAATTCCTAAGCCGTAATCGGACTTGCAGTCGTTGAATATTAGAAATACACAAATGCATTTTCAAGTCTCGTTGTTTTATTTTTTCAACACAAAGGACAATACAGTGTGATTCATCATATATACATATATTGATATATTTATTTGCTTGTCTTTAATGTATAAACAGCTACAAAGACATACATAAAATGAGTCACAGGATATGTCTGGAATTAAAACCCGTCTCTCAATCTTACAAAGATTTAAACATTTTAAAATCAAAGGGTCTTTTCTTTTAACATTCGGGTAACAAAAAGGATATTATTATAAAAGGAGCTTCAAAAGCTGTTATCGTGAAGTAATAAATATTGGTATGATTATGGCAATACAGTCAAATTTCCATGAAATGGTTCATATTCATTTTTCGAATCAAAGCAATCTTTAATGAAAACATTCTTCTACCAACTACACACAAAAAATGGATCTATTTTGCTTTTTCTATTTTCACAGATGTATGTATTTACCAAATTAATATCGATATTGCTTTTATCGTATACAATAAAAATAAGCAATAAAATTATTTAAACGTTTCTAGCTTTGACGATATTTAATCACAGGGCATCTAAAGAACAGTATTCAAGGTATTACCTTCATGAAAACCTGCAAGAAGAAGACAAATATGAATTTAGTTTCATTTGATTTTGTCCTTTACCATTCAATAACTATAGCACGAGTTAAACTGATAGATTGAGAGACGGTTTAACATTTGATGTAAATCAGGTCATTCTACATTCATTAATATAGGATACACAACCATATTATCCTGAGTTATGGAAAACAAGTTACGGATGTTGGTACAGAACCATGTCTTTCGGAACCACGACTGAGGATTCTCCGACTCTTTTTGTTTGTAAATCAGTAGCTGCCTTTTCTCCACTGCTGTATTTCAACTTATATCATTAGATATGCGAAATACCACATCCTGAATTCTCAGTTCAAGTTCTCTCATTCTCAACCTGTTGAAAGACATGTGAATAAATTACATACGAAAGCAAGTAGCAGTTTGTTATTACACTCCTGCTCAAAAAATAAGCAACAAAGGCGAAACACGGGATAAAACAAAAGCTATATAATGGATATGCGTGAAATTGATCCAAGGTGTTGGTGTGGCATTACTAGACCACATAGCACCATCGGCAGCAACATCTCGTCGATGTAAACGTGAGCCATGTGAATGTGTTGCAGTATACTTAGAGGAGATAAGCTGCTCTTTAGGTTGTTACATCAGATGATGGTCGTGGGTCTATCTTTTAAATGGGTATCTATCTTCTTTATATATATAAGCGGCTAAAGTGTGTGTCGCCGACAGTTTAATGTTGCCACTCGGAAAAATGAGCGCGGAGATTAACGTTTCCGCAGTTTTTAATTAATATCTCAACCGATTAAAGTCGTACAAAGATTAGAACGGTATCGATAGATTCGGAGAATTTTTTTGGAATCCGAGGATACGCGTCCCTTCAACTCGGCGCCGTTCCGTAGATGTTCGAGAAAAAATAATTTGGCACGCAGCCATCCCTCCAATAGGAAAACCCAAGAAAGAAAGTGCAAAATGTAGGGAAAACGTAGGGGAAAATTAGTTTTTAATTAATATCTCGGCTAATTAAATTCCCACGAAGACGCGAATGGTCAAAATGGTGTGCCACGGACCTGCGGAATTAAACGCTGTGTTTCACTAAGCCCGGGAGCCAGCCGTTTCGGAGGAGATGATGTTTCTTCACTCCATATATAGGTGCGGCTTAAGTGTCTGTTTGTCGTCGATAGTTTATTTGTTTGCTTGCATAACTGTACTAGCCAATGGGGTGAATTACCACGGCACAGGGTTGCCGTTTCAATTGAGACTTAGACAATTTCCTGTAAAACTTGCCTTTGCTATGACCATCCATAAGTCTCAGGGCCAAACGCTTAAGCGCGTTGGCATTTTTTTACCTGAGCCTGCATTTGGACACCGCCAACTTTATGTTGCCTGTTCAAGAGCTCGTGAAAGAACGGACGTGAAATGAAAAATAATAGATGGTTCTCTGCAAGGCGAGCTTAAAGTGATGGAAAGATCTACACAAGAAATGTTGTGCACAAAGATACGTATCTTTGACATGAGAATTAACATTTTATTATTTAAATCACCTTTATTTATTGAGCTAGCAGGTGGCTCTTAAGGAAATGTACCGCCAGTGGTTTTCCTTCATTGCGCTGCATTACTGTTAAGCAATTAAAGCAAGTAGAAGAGGGGAAACCCCGTGGGGCAGTAAGCAAAGGGGCGCCCTCGCCGCCTGTCCTGGGTCATTCAGTTTGAATGAGCAGACACCTTTGCACAAATCATTTTAATTTCAATTTATAATATCTAGAACAGCGGTCATTTCGTATGACCGCCGGGCTTTCTAGCTAAGATACACACGCGGGCTCTGACAGCCATTTCCTAACGGTACGTTCAATAATATGGGATGAATGGAAGATGACAAATACCTTTAAGCGGATGACAGCGATACTGTTAGTGCAATGTTTGGTTGTTCTCTTGATTGCATAATTCTTTCGCAACACGTGCGTACCTGGCTTTGCTGGTATGCTCTTTTTGTTTTTACATCCGCTTTACGGATCCATTTGTTCGTTCAATCCAATTTTTTTTTCAGGCATATGATGTGACGTGACCGATGACCGTGGGTTCTTTTCGTAAGTTATTTGGCTTCATACATAAAATTAACTTGCATTGCTGTGAATAAAAACATTTAAAAATACAACACAATAAATATATTTATATGCACTACTCATACATCTCTTATTAATATTTTTTTAAACCATTCAGCGCGTTCCGCGTAACCGTTGTTTCTCTCTGCATCTCGCTGGCGCTGATATCCTATTCTCACTATCCATGGAGGAGACTAGTGCCTCACAATATGACTATGCTTAAGATAATTGGTGGAATGATAAGATAATTGGTCATCGAATGCATCTTAATCTTTTAACGCCAATTCTGTATTCTTTTCAAAACAGAACTATTTTTTTTTTGTCGCCATTTTTGTGTTAATTTATGAACTTAACATTTGCCTACCCAGTAGTCTATTCATTCATAACCTAACATTTGGCTACCTAGTAACCTATTCATTGAAGTATAAAATACGTCATAATGAACAATTTTAATTGAATTTTACTAAATGTGTTGGATTATTACATTACTTACCTTATCATGACATTTACCACAAATGAAAGCTAACAAGTGTTTCCACTGGGTAAGACAGGACCTCTTTAAATGTATCTTCAACATGGCCTAACAAATAGTCAATTTCCAAAATGTTGCTTTTCGATGTGACAGATCTTAGATGTATCATTGAAATAATAATTACCTTATAAGCAGACCAATATGAGAATAAGCGACACATTTTAAAATAATTTACAAAAAATGCAAGTCCTTATATTTTAATAACACACCAATTACAGTTTAAAACATATATTTAATTTATTACATTATAACGTATTTCTCCCGCCTTCTTAGCGTGCCTTCTTGGTGTAATGGTCAGCACACTCGGCGCGTATTCGAGAAGTCCGTGGATCGAGTGCCGGCAAGGGCATTGCTCATTTTTTCACATCTCTCAGCATCGGAATAACCTAATGCCTCTGCAACATATCCATCTGATAATTTTAAACATTTGAAACATTACAGAAATTAATAAGAGGTATCTCTAATACGTCTCCAGCATGTTCTTTTAACACGAGAACTATTGTATTTGCACATCTTTTTTATATGCCTTTAAAGCATTCTAAGCCCAATTATAAGTACATGCATCTTAATCTATCCTAACCGAACCATTTTTTTTCCCCTTTTCCCGTCTTCGAATAATTATCTATGCAAGATCTAGCAGAGAGATAGCTTTGATTTAAAACAGAAACGTATAGAAGAGTATAGATCCTATTACAGATTTATTTTTCCATCATACAGCTTGCTATTTTGTCTCATGTATATACATGTAACAAAAATAAAGAATATGTAAAAGATTAAATTAGCAGCATAAATTAATTTCCCTTCTTTGTTCTAAAAATGGTAATCTCTATCTGCACTGCGTCATTTCGAGATTAATCCATGTCATATGACTCTTACATAATTCTGATAATTTAAATGGAACTGAAACTCAAACATCCAATAGTAATTTTACAACAGTATTAACTATCCAATCAAAATGCATTGAAAACCAAAACTAACTCAGCCTGAATTAGGATTTCACCCTGAACATAACACACTTGCTTCTATGCTTTAGCCTAGCTGGACTGCAGCCTACCTGTTCCTTGTTTCTTACTGCAAATTTATACAAAATGTTAATTTTTTGGAATAGGCACAATTAATGTACCAACTTGATTGTGGCCTCAACATTTTTGTTGAAATAAAAAATCTGATGTGTACACTACATGCCTCCCATGTACAGAATATTAAATTATATGCATTTTTCTCTTGCAATTCATTTAAACTTATTCGATTGAATTAAATTTACATCGCCGATAGCGCATAAGCCACAATACAATAAATGTACTCTTTAAAATTCACTATATTTGTTTACCATAGCGACACTCTGACGTCAGGTTCACTAAATAGAGTTACATTTCTTTCATATTATAACTCACAATGCACAAAATTTATAACATTTGAAGAATTATCTAATCGTTGCCACATGTTCTATTCAAATATTATAATAAATCTAAAACGATGCATAACAGAAATTAAGCAAACAAAACAAAAAAGAAACAGTTTTTCACAGACCATTCAGTATTTTTCATTCAATTAATTCAGTTCTCCCTTCGCGACAAGACAAAAATGCATAAAAACTCAAAATATCTATATTCAAAGTTACGAAGTAAATCTCCTCGAATAAATTCCGGAATGGATTAAGCATGATTTAATTCGCAATAATAAAAGAAGGCGTTATCTTTGTTGTTGCGAAGCTTAGTTTCTCTAGATTGGCAACAAATCTGTTATTTTGTAAAGTTACAAACATGGCCGCCATCGCAAAAATAATTAGGCTTAACAGCACTTAAACAACTTTCAAATTGTTGGTAACTCTAAAAATATTGCATACAGATTTACTAAAGGCTTAAAAACCTTAACCGGAAAATAAAAACAACATAATTCAATCGTTTTTAAAGAAAAAAATGCATAATTTACAAACATATGAGAGTAAAGAAAGTGAGATTTCTGAGCCGCGTAACAGAGTGTATATACCTATTATAGGTCTTTATCTTTGTTGTTGCGAAGCTACGTTTCTCTAGATGGGCTATAAATCCACTACTCTGCTGTTTCAAATGTAAACAAGCAATGGCTACCATCAGAAAAATTATTAGGCTTAGCGCACTTAAACAACTTTAAAATTGTTGATAATTCTAAAATTATTGCATACAGATTTTCTAAAGGCATAAAAACCTTAACCGGAAGATAAGAACAACATAATTCAATCCTTTTTAAAGCAAAAAATGTACAATTTACAAACACATAAGAATAAAGAAACTGAGATGACTGAGCCTGGTAACAGAGTGGATATACATATAAATAAATTTATATACGTTTGGCGCGGCCGTTTGTCCACCAAAATACGAGGTGCACATGTACATGTTATAGCAGCCCTATATACAAAATTTCAACGTTCTGAGGCTACTCGTTTTTGTGTTATGGGAGATACGTACGTATAGACGCCACGAAAGTTTTCAGAATTCATTGCAAATCAGTTTTATAATTTTTTTGGAGGAAAAGAGTCTTTTATTCTGTCCTTACGTACATATGTCACGCAAAACCATCGTTAAATTGCATTCCATAGCAGTCATAATGGGTAGTTTCGTTGAAATACGATGTCCGAAACTTTTCGCGATTACAATATACAGTCAAAAGTCGTTAATTCGGACACCCATAATCCGGAATGATCTATAATCCGGACCTCAAAGCTAAAAACTTCCTGCGCATGCGCCGCGTTGGCACATGCGCACAGGCGTTTTACGCGTGCGCGTAAGACCTTGACTACTGCGCATATGCGTGTGCGCAAGTGCAGAATACGTTTTCGCCTGCGCGTTTAATGTATAACCGACGGTGTAAGCTAAAATTATCTAATTATCTATTTCAGTTAATGTTAATGATTGCGTTGTTGCTTAATCTTCGAATTGGATGGCGCTTATTATTTTTTGCAGACTGTAAGAGCAATTTTATAAAAGTAAACTTGAACTTTGGATTATGTCAAATAGAATTTCCGATGCTGGAACTTCCAAAGGATCTACAAAACGAAAGTATGTTTCGATGTCCAACAAGCAAAAAGTGGAATTGCTGCAAAAAATGGATAAAGACATGAAGAATGTGACAGAGAGGTTAGTGAAAACGAAAAAAATTTGATTGACAAGTTAGTCAGTATCCTCGGCACAGCAATTAACGGGACTTGAACAGCGGAACTTTGTAACTGAACAAGAAATTATGTCTGTTTATAGAATTAAAGAGAAAGTATTATCACATAAAATGAAGCAACTTAAACAACTTACATTGAAAGAAATGTTTAATAAAGTAAATAAATATTAAGCTTTTTTTTTTTTTTTTTTTTTTTTTTTTGTAAATTTTGATACCCTTTAGATCATAATTGTTCTTTATTTCATAAATTACGGTTTCATATTTTTAATTTTAGAATTTCTGCATGCCATCTTACGAAATTTAAACTGATGATCTATAATCCGGAAAAATCGATAATCCAAAATCGCCGAAGTCCCGACGAGTCCGAATTAACGACTTTTGACTGTACTTCCTTTTTACTTCGTACAACGAAGTAAAAATCAAGATTTAATCTGCCTCGGCTGCCAGCTTCCTATTTATTGTGGAACGGTATTTCAGCATTCTATGCATCAAAATTCTTTGTTTTTATTATATATATATATATATATATACACGCAAACAACATCCCACTGTTTAACAGATGAATCCAAGTTTTAGATCCAAATACATCCAAAATTACGATTAATTAATTTTACATCCAAAATTACGAGTGATGAGTTCAGCTTTTAGGTACAATAAAGAAAATAATTATAAGGGGAGAGAACAGGTTGGGCATGCAATGTGAGCTGTTCAAGATAATGTGGCCTGGAAACATAGAGCGGCTTGTTTTCTTTGATAGTGCTTAAAATGCTGAAAATCTTCCAAAAAAGGTTGTACGTAATCGAAGAACTGATTATTTTTTAGATTGCAGTATTACCGGATGCAATTTATTCCATTAATGGTACAGATGGTGGTGATTATCAAGCATGCATAGTGCATAAGGCATGTACACGAGCATCCTGAGAATAAACTGACATTAAATTGAGCAAACTTTGTTCTGTAGGACGGTAAAATAAAATTTGGAATAGGATCTATGTTGACCTTATAATTTCTATTTTACAGTAAGGAAATCTTTTTGCCGAATCCTATATACCTCTATTTAGGCACATCTCTATATTTATTAGGCTTTATTTTAAAATATTTCTGTGTCCATGCACCACATTAGGTACCGGGTGCGATTTTTTCACTCAATCATTCGGCTTGATACGCTACTCAAGTATGACTCTCGTGTGTACAGATAATTTTAAATCAAAAAGTTACTCCCATCAGCAAGATAGCATTTAAAAGGAAATGATTTATAGCACCATGTAAAACATTTGAAACTATATAAGAAACATAAAATTTTGTTTCTTAATTAGTAAAGCAACAAAGTTGTTTGGCATAGCAAAGTCTTTTTTTTTTTTTTTTTTTTTACTTATTACGTGCTCCTCCCTTAGGTTCTACACGGAAAGGAAGAGATGTCCCATGGAGGTCTTTTTAAGGGAAACTGACTCCTATCCACGTTACACATGGGGAAAACCATGAAAACGCGCATGCGAAAAACCCGTTTGCTGGGATTCGAACTACCAGTGTTCAACAGCTTTTACCACTCGGCCGCGAAGTTCGAATCCCGCGAACGGGCTGGCTGCATGGGCGTTTTCGTGGTTTTCCTCATGTGTAACGTGTATACGAGCCAGTTTCCTTTAGAAAGTCCTCCATTCCTACCTTTAGGCAGATAGCCCTCGTGTGCTTTGCCGTAATTGAATAATCCAATCCAATCCACTCGTCCAACAGAGTGTTTGCGTCAAGAGCATAAGGTTGTTGCTTTGCTAACTTAATGTTTTACTGTTGGGTGTTTCTCTTCTGTTTTAATCTAAAAAATTTGACTACATCCCTGAATTCAGCTCTTTGGGGAGGTATAACAAATTCATAGATATAAGTTTCCACTGACATATACTGATATAAGCGTTTAATCGCATACTGTTGTTATTCGCTCAAACTTACAGCTAGGATGGCGCTGCGAGATCAGTAGACATTGGTCATTCCTGCATCCATTGTTTCAGTAGTTGTGTTCGGGAATGAAGAAGTGGGGCGGGGCTGGCGCCGGTATAAGTTGAGCCATTTCAGGAACAGCAGTCGTCGGTGGGTAAGGAGTGCCCTAAAAAGAAAGAAATAACAAAAATATAAAATCTATACTCCTCGGACGCTTCATTCATAAAATTATTTTCAATTTTTAAGTTATGAGTTTGGATTAACTAAATTTTACAAGATTTGATGATGATGATGATGTCGTGTCTATGACAAAGTGCAATTATATAGCCCCGAAGCTGTCAAAGACAGTTTTTGCAACCTCGGCAACTCAGTATAAAGTAGGTCCACTGGGTCTTCTTCAATGCCGATGTTAAACAGTCTGGCCTGGATTGCTGGGCAGCTGAAGATGTGATGGCGAGACAGTGGGATGTCATCTGGGCAATGAGGACAAATGTGGTTACAAGATTTGAAAATTTTCTTTTAAGATGGTGAGAATCGTAAAACAAATATCGGTACTTACGTATTAACGCAACCACCTTGGCAGAAGAAAAGATAAAAGTTGCTTATCGGATACAAGTTGGTTGTTTTCGTAAGTTTTTCAAAAAAATTCTCGAAGTATCGATAATTATTTAAGTTGGAAAATGTTATCAGCGTTTGAAAAGTCGACAGACTTTAGCAATTTCAAGTAAAAATTTTGATTTTTAAACAAGGATTACGTGACATATTAAAAAAAAAAAATAAATAAAACACTTACATTCGTCCCCAAATTTTTCTGTAATTCCCCCCCCCCCCACTATTATTCTCCTCGGGCACACAGCGATACGTTTTCTCTTAAAAAATTTAAGTGAATTGCACAGACTTGACATCACTTAAACTTCGGCAGCATCGCTTATCTGCCAATCGCATCTCCTCTTTGTTCGCTTTAGAGACTTTGCTACAAAATTATTTATTCCTGAAGAAATTTTACCGCAGTTTCTTCCATCGTTGCCAAATTCCACAAGCGCATATTTTGAAATTAAGTTTTTTCACGATATCCCGATTTTTTTACAAGTCGATAGAATACAACAAAAAGAACGCATGCCAAAATGGGCCATATTGCTTAACTGAAGGACTGTTATGAGTATGGTTGCCTAACGAATCAATTATGCGCATGGTTGCCATAGTATGGCACATTTTGAAAATTTGGCGACTTCTGCTAAGGTAGATGCGATAACACGTAAGTACCCGAATATCTAATCGAGAGGGCGATATCCCTCCATATATGTTCTTAAAATCATATAGAATATTTATAACTAGCAAAACTAAACTAAACTAAACTCAGTGGCGCAACAGCCCTAGCTGGCCATGGCCTGGAGTGCCCGATATCTGCTAACTGTGGGCCCCGGGATGCAAGCGCATACACCCTAGACTAGTGGCTGAGTCAACCTTGCCCAGCCCGGGGATCGAACCCCGGTCCTGTGGTGCTGCTAGCCACTGCACCTCATAAGCAACGAAATTATCTACTTTTAAATCCTTTTGCATGATAGTAGCTAAAATATAAATGAAGCATAGTTCTGGTGTTGCATGGCTTGCTGTTCAATATGCTCCTAACTTGCTCACTTAACCTTTCGGTTGCTGTTGAAGCATGGATTATGTATGGTTTCATTCTGTTTGCATCAATTGTAAATTTGCATCAGTTAGAAATTCCTTTGCTTCCTTCAAATGCTGTTGTAACTCCATATCTCTGGTCGATTTTTCTCGGAATTTGTTGAACTTATCTCTTTCAAATCTTATTTATTCGTGTTTTACAATTACGTTTACTGTACTGTCATATGAAGGAACATTAAAGGGGTCTTAATTTAATAGTTCTAATGGTCTGTTAATTTTCTAACTATTGAGATATCATTGCTCTTCTTACGAATGAAAAAAAAATCTGTACTTACAGTACCTATAATATAACTGTATTTGCTTTTGCCATAGATACATCCGTTAATACCGTGTCCACCTTCAAAAACTAACTTAATGACTAACTTAAGAATATGGGAGCATCTAAAACTCTGCAAAGCCAATAACCAAAGCAAAGAGAAACTTCAAATAGAGTAGTTTCCAGAATGAATGGAAAAGTGAGGTAAAAATGGGAAGGTAAAATAATTTGAAAACATATAGTGAATTTTCTGGATTTTATATCTGCTCTACATGACTTATTTTCATCGGATATGAATTATTTTTTTGAATGACATCACATATTCAGTAAATGACGTTACTTACCGTGGGATGGCACTGAATTGACTGCTGAGGGAGGTAGACAGACGACGGATATATCACATTGAAATTTGCCTATAATAATAAAAAAATTACCTACATTTTAATTCATTTCATATACGTATAATGGTAAAAATATTTAATGCTTCAAAATTTTTAAGTTATTGGAAGTACAAACAAGTCTCCGCCGTTTTTTATGATTTATTGTGAAAGACCGGTGCATTATGCTTTATTCAAAGCATTGCCCACTGCTAGTCACTACTTTTTCCATCTTTCTGGCAGCATATGGAAGAACGCTTCATCTTTCGAGATTTTTCACAAATCACCTTCATGGTATCTTCATGTGATATTACGCGTCAAAATGTCTGACGCATGGCTCAGACAGGCCATGCGTCATCAATCGAAACCATTGTCATGTCTGGAGTAGTAGTGGGCTGAGTGCTTGGCTCAGTCTCATCAAACTGTGTTCGGTAGAGAGCTCCAGCAATGGTTTTGTTCGGCTTGAGCAATTCATAATAAATGACATTAAGTTGATCCCACCATATACAGGACACGATATTTTCATGGTTATTCAACTTGGCTGTCGATGTTGAAGCACTGCCAGGTGGTTCCCATGATTTTTTCTTCTTTGGTTATTGCAGTGGATTCATTTTTTTTTTTTTATTAACAGTGACTACACAATACAATAAAACCTTTTCGTTTATGCCGAGCAAGCAGCATTTCACGTATAAAAATCAGCGCTCAACGTTTCTCGGCTTCAGTTCACATGGAACCCAGTTTCCTTGTTTTCGAATCATTCCCAATAATTTTAAACTATGTGAAATTGCTTGTTGAGTTACTCCTAATGTACATGCAAGATCTACTTGCGTTTGTCACAAATCTTCGTCCAATAATGCTTCCAGTTCCGTATCTTTGTACACTTTCATCCTTCCACTATGTTCTTTGTCTTCAACGTTAAATTTACTGTTCTTAAAATTTTCAGAACACTTACGACAACTTCTCGCGCTTGAGGCAGCCTCACCATATGCTTCTACAAGCAACCGGTGCGTCCCAGCTGTAGATTTCTTCAAGTTAAAGAAATAAATCAAAAGTTTCCGCAAATAACGCTGATTCGGCTCAAAACTTAACATAAAAAAAATAATAACTAAATAAAAAAAATATTATAAAATCCCTAATATTTCAAAGTTATGTCTTTAGCAGATGTCCAGTCTTATGATATGATGTTTTATTTCAGACAGTTTAGTTTTAACCATAACTTACTAGTGGCGCCATTTTTTTGTCAAACGGCACAAAGACTTATTTGTACTCTTAATAATGTTACGTAACAATGCCAACAATAGAAATTCGTTATTCTTTCTTAAACATTTCTTAAGAAAAATAAAACTTTGTATATTAATTTCTCCAAATTGCAGATGAAAAAAAATACAACAAAAATTAATTCTCAAGCTTGATAACTTGAAATATTTTGAAGATTCCAAGCATGGGCGTAGTTGGGAGGGGAAGCAAGTGCACCCCCTTAACGATCAACTATTTTTTATTAACAACATTGTGCCGCGATGAAATCTAAATTTATCGTGTGTGTAGGACTAATTGCAATATATTCAGCTCTGCTAGAACATGTAGCCAATACTTTACAGTCCAAAAATTTAAATATTCTACAATATGCAGACTACATAAACAGAATTTTAATGACTGTAAAAGAACATCATAGACCAACAGATGTTTTATGCCAGAAAATTCTTTCTTTCGCAAGTGCTGTGGCTGAGAGCATTGGCAATGAATTGCAAGCACCGAGAATTGTAAAACTGCAAAAACATCGTTCAAATCCTCCAGCATCTACAACCGCTGAATTCTGGAAAAGGTCTCTTACAATCCTTTATGTGAATTCCTTAATACTATCACTGGAAGAAAAATTTGCCAGCATTTTCTTTGTTGTTATTACATCCTGTTGCTATGCTAAAGATGCCAGTAGAAAAATTTAACAAAAACGCGGAGTGCATTCGCGATTTTTATAATTTGAAAATTTTTGACAGAGAGAGAGAAAACTCTGGTATAATTTCTGGAAAACAAGGAAACTAGAGATCGGCAACATGAAGGAGTTAACCATTTCCGGCACGCTACATTCAAAGTCGGAGTTTTGATTTTTAAAAAAAGGTAGGCAGTCTAATTAGGCCTAGAGGAGTACACAAGTAAAATTTTGTGAAAATAGCACTTATCGTCTTAATTCTGTGGGTGTGCCCAAAGTGGCACACTGATTGAACAGAGCTTCGAAAAGAGTGCTGAAACGAGCATTGTTGTCAATGAATTGACCGATGAGATGCGGAGAAACAAAGAATATAGACTCTCAGTTGTCCTAGATTATCGGTGAGCCCGGTCTGGGCACACCTAGGGTTCGTCGTTTGATTTTAGGCAAGATTTCAAGGTCAAAATTTAAAACTAATATAGAATAAGGAGATAACATACAGCCAAAAAAATAACATGGAAATTTCTTTTCAAACAATTCTTTTTATACCCTAAAAAAAATCTGGAAGATTTCTTTGAAAAATGAGGGTCTTAAAAAACCAAACATGGCTAAAATATATGGACTGGTTTGTGTTGAGCTGTCATCTGCTATAAATAAAGAAGGTTCAGAGTAACCTATAGTAATCTATAAATCCTTTTTCATTCAATTTTTCTATGTGCACAGAAGGAAATTTTTCGGTGTGTCCAGATCGGACACACTGTGCCGCAAAGGGTTAATTCTTATATCTTTCTCTCAACCAGGTACTATGTGTATTATTGAGCACTCATTTAGTACCTTGCACAGAGTTGCACTTGGTTGCGCTCTACAATGACAAAGAATCGCTTAAATGGGATGTATATGTTAAGTGTGCATCGAAAGCTTGTTCAAGAAACAAGAATAGAAATAGAAAAAGAAGTTTTAGAACGATTTTAGTTCAGATAGCAGAAACATTGTTGTAATATAAATTAAAGGCCAAGTTAAAAAATGTTAAGAAGTCTCTTTATTCCTATCTCCCATATTTCAATGATCTGTTTTAACTCATCTTTTTCAGTTCCGCTATTTATTTGTTTGTTTATTCGACTGTAGCAATTCATGTGAGTGCTATCCTAAAGGGAAAGCTGTCTTCCAGTTCAAGTAGTTCACAAAATCTTCCCATTGTAAACATCAAGCCAATAGTTAATATTTCTAATGTTAGTCTTTCAGAAGAACAAGAGAGAATTCTAAAATATAATTTTTAACTTCTCACAAACCTGTAAACCCTCGATTCCAAAGATTTGGCTCCTATCGAAAAAGCTTTCAAGTTCAGTAAAGTTTCAGATTCACAGAAAGAAATGATTAGGCATCTTATCGCTCATAATGTGAAATTCAATAATAACCTTTGAAACCAAATCTAACTGCGAGAGAAAAGACTACAATGCGCGAGATTCATTCTAACCGGATATTGTCATTTCAAAGGCCGACAAAGGTGGCCAGATCGTCGTCATGGATAAGAACACTTACATCGATGGTGTCACTAAACTCTTAAACGAAGGACCATATAATCCGATCCCTAAAGATCCTTCACCTTCGGACTTATCCAAATAAAAACTGCGATCAAATCTTCGCAAATCATTTTCAAGCAACTTAAAACATTCGCTTATCCCATCTGTTGCGAATTGTGGCCAGATTATATGCTCTTCCCAAAATTCATAAAAGTGGTATTCCTTTCCGCCCTATTGTATCAAATTTAGGTACTGCCTCGTATCCATTAGCTAAATATTTAGTTTCTAGATTTTCCACTCTATTAGACAATAACATTTACACCATAAAAAATTCAATAGAGTTTTGTAAAAAAGGTTTAAAAACATTTTCCTCGTAATTTACTCATGGTTTCTTTTGATGTAAAATCATTATTCACCAGTGTCCCAGTGGAGGGTGCATTAAGATGTCTAGAAACCAGACTTCGCGAATTTCATTCTCTTGCATCGAAATTGATGAGCTAATTTCTCTCACTCAACTCTGTTTTGAAACAGACACATTTTGTTTTCCAAATAAATATTCAAGCAAACTGAGGGATTAGCCATGGGAAGCCCCCTCAGTCCCATCCTGGCTGATATCTACATGCATTATTATGAATCAAAATTGTTTCAAACTTTAAACTTCCCGGCATGGTTCCGCTACGTAGACGATACTTTTACCCTGTTGAAGGTAATAAAGATGATTTAAATAGAGTTCTTTCAACAATGAATTCTATTGATCCTGCTATTCAGTTTACTTTTGAACTGGAGACTTGCAATTCTCTTCCGTTCTCGACATTCTGGTCACACGTAACATATCCAACTTCAGTACTACAGTTTACCGTAAACCTTCATCGGTTTGCCTTCCACCACACTTTAAATCATGTCATCCGACTAAACAAAAAGTTAGCTTCATTTTATTCCTATGTTTTCCGTGCTCTTCAAGTTTGCTCCTCCATCCAAACTAGCCCTTGATGAAGAACTAAATTATTTAAAAGCAATAGCTATTGACAGGGGCTTTTCACCCAACATTATTAATCAAGCAGTTAAAAAATTCTCATCTCAACACACTAAAAGCCACACTCTTATTTTAGGAGATTATAAAATTCTATTGTCATTCCCTCTTTTATCAATTAGCTTTAAGTTGCACATATTTTGCAGAAATTTAACTTTCGGGTTGTTTACTCTCCCATCAATAAAATTCCAACTTCTATACTCAAGGACCCCATTCCGGATATGAATTCCTGGGGTATTTATAGGATTCCTTGCCAGTGCGGTTTAATTTACATTGGCCAAACTAAGAGAGCCTTAAAATTTCGCGTCAAAGAACATGAGGCATATGTTAGAAAAAAGGAAACACAGAAGTCTTCTGTTGCTCAACATTGTTGGTCCGAAATCACACTTTCAATTTTTCTGCTGCCAAAATTATTCAAAAAAAACATCTTCCATTGGAGAACTGGATTTTCTAGAGGCATTTCACATTCATAAAAATCTTTCTGTTCTAGTTAACGATCCTAATTCCAATCCAAATTTGCCTTCGGCTTTTAGAGAAATTATGTTTTAGTTCTGGTTTCGCCAACAGATGGCGCAACTTGCTTATTCTTGTCCAGGCTTTCTTATCTTATCTAAACATTATTTCCTATCTTGTTCATTTGCGGTTTTGCAGCTGAAGATGATGGTTCGGTAAAACCATCGAAACTAGTCCTGTGAAAATTTTGTAAATTAACGCTGATTTTTGTTGTTTGACTTCTGAATTAGATGTAAAAGATGTTAGAAGGTTAAGATATAAATTTCTCGTTCAACGATTGTTTCAATCGTGAATTTAAAGAAATACAACTCATTTATTCGTAAAAGTTTTGACTTAAACCTGATTGCTCATTAGTAAAATTTGAAATAATATTTAATTAATGAAAGGAAAGTAAAAGAAAATGGTTTAACGAATGAGATACATTCCGCAAGAGAAGAAGAGGAAGAATGACCTTGGCTGTTTGCATTAGCTGTACATAAGTCACGTGATCTCTGAGGTCATATGCACTGTTTGTTTACAAAAGGTATACATAAGTCACGTGATCAATGAGGTCATCGGAATGTATCTCATTATCATCTACGTTCTTTACTTATATTTAAAACTCAAGAAAAAAGCACTTTTCGTGTGGCAGATTTTGTCTTAAGCGTTTAGAAATCCTAATTTTATAATATTTATTGTGGTAGAAAAGTAGGGGGGAACTCACCTGAGGGTTGCCGTACGTGCAAACACTTTCAGGGGCACTGAAAAATGTCACGCCATTGGGATATGTCAGAGGAATCCCACTGGGGTAAAGAATGGTCCCATTCGGTACGACAGGGGTTGGTTCTGGATAAAAATATCATGAAAATAATATTTAGAAATTAAACAAGTTACATCAATACATATGATACATTAATATATACATTAAAAAATAAGCATCAGCGTGTGAATTTTAGATATCTTCTTGGTAATCATAAACTGTAACTAAATTTTAGATAGACAGGCAGCGAATTATCGATAAATAACAACTGAAAATTAAGAGGCGTATATAGCCTTTATTTACAGTTAATAAGTAAAAAAGGCGTATTTTGTGTTTACAACTCAGCTAACTATTCGTGGTGATGTAAATTTAAGTAACAGTGAGTTTTCAAATAAACTAGTAGTCAAAGGCGCGTTCAGTTAACGCGAAGTTGGCTCAAAATTTAACCGGCGTGGATATTCACAATTAGCAATTATAATGCGAGGCTGCAGATTGCAAATCTTATCTACCAACCTAGTAACGTGGCCTCGAAAGGCAAAACATGTTCATTCTTACAATCCGAAATCCTAACCCTAAAATACAAGTGAACTAAATTTGTATTTTGCATTCTGCCAAGGAAACGGTACGGAGAAGTGACAGTAAAGATCCAAAACATAAAATAACTGGTTAAATAACAAAATCGAACCTTATTAATGGAATAAAATAAAAATACTTTATGGATATGAATGAAAGTTACACTAAGATTCTGCAGAAAATTTCTTACAGAAGCCTGAATTCTGAATTTATTTTATTACCTAATTCATATTTTGTGAAACTTTAACAGAATTTAATTAACAAACCCAGCGATTCCAAAGCGAGCAGTGGCAACACTGTGTCAGAAAAAAAAAAAAAAAAAATTATCTCCAAGTGTGCAAGACTATAATCGGAAATTCTAAAAAGATATGCGGTTTTTTAAATATTTTATAATTTTGCTGTTGAATCGATTTTTATGTGGCATAAGCGCAAAGAACGTAATAGTTACAATAAATACAGTAAACACACAAAACTTTAATAATAAAAAGACAAAAAAAAAAGTTTTGTAAAACCATCTTAGTAAGAAAACTGAACATTGATATGTTGAACTGAGAAAAGACTGGGGGAAAAAAAATGTATGCCAACACTTAATGCTACATCAGGAATTCTAAGCATACACTGCTAAGCTGCTTTTAATTTCTTTGTAATTTTGCCGTGGAATTGTATATGGCGCAAGTGCGAAGAAAAAGATACTTAAAGCTAAAAAAGAAAAAAAGAAGAAAAAAAAAAAAAAAAAAAAGAGTAGTAGGAGTGAGTGTAAGAGCTGACTTTTGCACAAAGTTATAAAAAGTTCCTTTCTTTATTAATTTTATTATCTGATAAAAAGTTAATAAAATGTATTCTTACACCAAGAAATAAAACAAAATGCTGAAATTTCCTCAGAGATATTCGTACAATAGTGCAATATCTTACAGTAGTTTAAACTACTAAAACGTTAAATAGAACACAATTCAAACCACAGAGAAAGATAATCCGATCTCACCGCGAATTCGCTACAATCAGTAACAGCAATAAGTAAACAACTAAACTGAGATGTTTCGCTCCGCCTTTTTAGAGCTTTTTAATCATGCACGAGAACATTCTGATAATTTTTATTTTCTCGAGGTTTCTGGAAAGCAAAAGAGTAGAATTACAGTTACCGCTAACACACAATTGCATTTATTCAATTTAAATATAAATTATGAGATATCTATTTTATTAAATGCGCTTGCTCCTGTATTTTTACTTTTTCGGCATAGCTTTCTCTTAAAACTCGTCACGCGATGCATTACACGGGGAAATAAAACAATTTTAATTACAGTTCTACCAAAAATAGCTAACTAAATGCAAAATCCGTAACAATATAAGCTCAAAAATATTTTCTAGGTTCAAAAAATTGTATTTCCGCAGTAGTAATCCGATGTTATTTTTGTTACTAAGCCAAAATATAAAAAAAACAGAAAACCCAACCATCTTCCTGTCTAACTATTTAACTACTATTTCTAATCTGCTTTCAATCAAAATCTAATTCTATTCACTAGCGGTTCTCTGTTGCACATTTTATTTCATGAAATTTTTCTCAGTAACTCCAGGTTGGGGGGGGGGCTGAGGAACTCTACATGTCATATTTTTACAAGATTAGGAAGAGATTCGACAGCATTTTAAAAGATAAATCATTTCATTCATTTTATATTTATTTCATTAGCAGTTCTTTTCCATAGGCTTTTTACTCTTTTGCATTTCTTGGCGCCTCTCCAACATAAATATACACATCAATTCCACAGAAGCCGTTACTCCCAAACCGTTACCCAGAACAGAGCCATAGAGAAAACTATTCAGTAGTTTTCCCTTTCGACTGTTTAGTGTGTAAGATATTTCTCCCGCCTTTTTAGCGTGACTTCGTGGTGTAGTGGTCAGCACACTGAGCCGGTATTTCAGAGGTCCGTAGTTCGATTCCCGGCGAAAGCGGTTGCTACTTTTCATGTTTCTTGCTTCCAAAAATATACCTAATGTCCATACAAGTGAACATGCTGATTTTTAGTGAATCATCTTCTATTGGAATTGGACTAGTCAACTGGGAGCAATTTTATCCCCTGTTGCTCTTTCGTTAGGTGTAAGGAATTAAAGATACTGACCCCAAGCGGGGCGTAAAAGTACACGGGCGGTTCTTTGCCAAAGAACCTCCAAGGCCGTACTCTTGCGATATCATGCCTAAATATTTAAAAAAGTCATTGTAAGTAATCGTCGTGAGTACTTTTTGTACAATTTGTCAGTACCTAGTGAGTACGGGATAAAAATTTTATTAATCATTGAGCATTTTTTTTTTTTTTTTTTTTTTTTTTTTTTTTAATTTGGGGTCGGCAATCTTAGGAAAGTACGCGGGCAGCCAATGGCCTACGAACGGCCTTGACCCCATGCGTACTTGTTAAGCTGTGATCTGCTAACTAGTTCGATATCTGAAATTTCAGGGTTTGATCCTCCGTGAGGGAATGATGAATTTTTCACCAACTCCTGCTTCAAAACTTTTAATATCTCTATATCTTGTATCAAAGTCACGCGTAGATTTTTCATAATGAATGTATTTTAATTAGTGTAAGACAAAATTTAACATTCGTAATTTAATATTCTAATGTCTTAAAAAATAATCTCGAAGTGTAAAAACTTAGCAGAAATTATACTGCACATATGCAAACCGACGACTGGCCAAGAAACTACGTAGGTGGATCCAAATAAATAAATTACAAGTACATTGAAAATTATTGAATTTGAAAATTATTGTGGAGGTAATACTTTATCTCTCGATTTTAGTCAAATGGCACTAGTTGTCTAGCAGTGGTTGCGAGGGTACGTAGAGTAAGTTCGCAGACGTGTCAGAGGGAATGAAACGACAAGATGTTTACAAAAGTGGTCTCGCGTAGACAAACAGCTTTTGCATTAGTCATAGAGACGGCGTTGGCTTGGAGGTGCAGGTCATGATTCGTTATCCTGGTCCAGTATCTGGAGTGTGGCCATAGCGTTACTGCCAATCGCTGTTGTGCCATTCTGACAAGGTTAAGTGAAGCCATACAACGCAAGTGTCCTGGCATGTTGAGTAATGGTATCATCCTTCTGCATGGGAATGCCCGCCCCCATACTGCAGCCAAGCTTCAAGAATTGCTGCAAAAGTTAAATAGGAAGTCTGGAGATATATATAGCACCCAGTGACTATTTTCTCTTTCCAAAATTGAAGGAACATTTGTCTGGAATGAGGTTCTCTTCACACAATGATGTGAAAACAGCCACTGAGAACTGGCTCAGTGAACAGGGACGTAATTTTTCCCAAGCCGGGTTAAACACGTTGGTCCTGCATTCAGATAAATGTATAATAGATATGGTGATAATGTGGAAAAATGATAGGTAAGTATGCCTCTTAATTCTATTTCGTATTGTCTGCCTATTGCTAATAAATAATTTTTTATTACCTCTGTAACTTTTTTTTTTTTTTTTTTTTGGATCCACCGTCATAGTTACTGACACTAAGTCTTTGAATGTTAATTGTTAGATTCTTGACAAGATGTACTATTTGTCGTTTTTGTTCTCCCCTTTCAAGATTTGTTAACTGTCTGCTGTACGAGCAAATACATGCAAGTTCCCCTTAACAAATGCAGTATCAAGCACACCTTAGTTTAAAGACAATCCACGAGACTTTTACCCGATTAATAAAAAATTCAGTTTAGTGCATCATCAACAATAACTGTTTCATAACTGGTTCAGTAACTGTCCGGATTATTTAACCCTTTCCGGCACGCTACCTTTTAAAATTGGAGTTTTGATTTAAAAAAAAAAAAAAAAAGGGGGGGGGGACAGTCTAATTAGGCCTAGACGAGTACACAAGTAAAATTTTGTGAAGATAGCACTTATCGTTTAATTCTGTAGGTGTGCCCAGAGTGGGCACACTGATTGAATAGAGCTTCGAAAAGAGTGCTGAAACGAGCATTGTTGTCAATGAACTGACCGTTGAGATGCGGAGAAAAAAAGAATACAGACTCTCAGTTGTCCTAGATGATCGGTGAGCCCGGTCTGGCCACACCTAGGGTTCGTCGTTTGATTTTAGGCAAGATTTCAAGGTCAAAACTTAAACTAATATATAATAACGTTAGCATACAGACAAAAAATAACATATAAATTTCTTTTTAAACAATTCCTTTTATACCCTAAAAAAAAATCTGGAAGATTTCTTTGAAAAATGAGGGTCTTAAAAAACTAAACATGGCTAAAATATATGGACTGGTTTGTGTTGAGCTGCCATCTACTACAAACAGAGACGGTTCAGAGTAACCTATAAATCCTTTTTCATTCAATTTTTCTGTGCGTAAGGAAGGAAATTTTTAGGTGTGTCCAGACCGGACACACTATGCTGCAAAAGGTTAAAAGAAAGATTTCGAAATTGAAGAAATTCTAGTGTACAGGAAATGATTATAAAAAACAATGAGATTTATTATATATAAATAATTATTACTTACCATAGACCCTTGCAAAAGGCTGAAAATAAAAGAAAACATTTATTACAATCTTAACATACATTATATTTTGTTCAAATTAAAGAATTGTATGAACAGAATTAATATAAAAATATACCATATTTTACTAAAGGCCATATGTGACCTAAATTTTGTAGTCAGAAAGCTTATTTCATAATATTTATTTCTTAATTTCTAACTACGACCTAGGATTGATTCTTTAAGAGTCTCAAACTTTTCAAAATACCCTCTATAGTACGGGAAATATAATTCAATTAATTATTTTAAAGAAGCCTGGAAAATCAGTATTTTTATCTTCATAACTATTGGGTTGCTCCACAGGTCCTGGTGTGCTTTTTTAAGCGAAAATTTTGCGTGAAAAATAAAACGTTTTGGCAGTGCGTCGTATGTTATTCGATAGAGAATTATGTGCTCCACAAAATAGTGTGTTTATTTTTTTTTTTTTTATGCTGATATAATTTTTGTCCTTTTCAAGTCACTAAAATGGACTGTAAAGTTGACAGAAAAGAGCATTTTAGACACCTTCTGCTTTTTGCATTTAATTGAGATGCCAAAGCTCAAAAGATTTGGCTGCTTAAGCTGCTCAAGTGATTTGGCGAAACAGAGCGATGCCTTTTAGACGGCTGAAAATTGGTTTAAGCGATTCAAAGACGGCAATTTCAATTTCAAAGACCACACTGGACGCTTCGTTCAGTTCGATGAGGTACAACTGAATCAGTTTAAATAACGAGGGAATTGCCAGAGATAATAGAATGCACCCACAGTACCACAGAGTGCCACTTTCACTCGATAAGAAAGGTGCAACAGTTAGGCGCATGGGTTCCGCATTCTTTGAACGACAACAAGAAAAATTAACAAGTCACGATCTCCGTTGGTGTGCTTGCTCATCACTGGTCAACATCTGGACACAAGCAGCAATTCCTCAACTGAATTGTTACTAGCAACGAAAAATAGTACATGTGTCCTTCCTAGCTCCATCATAAGGATTTTAGATCATTTTGAAAAGTTCCAGTGTACATATACTGTAAATATTTTTTGTTTTTCCACTTTTATTGTTTTCATACGCACAATGAATTCATGAAGTAGTTGGAGCTCCTCCCACTTCTCTTGATTCGTCCACGTGTTCAACCCAGATACAAAGTGCATCATTACTTTTTGGACGTAATATCTGTCTTATCTGGAGAATTCTATCTGCGGATTTCAACACGAATCAGGCCCAATTTGGGACTCAATCATGAACTGGCAAGAGCAGGACCTTTTCCCCCTGCTGAGTGCCAGTATACTCACCAGCGTAAAGAACAGTTTAGCTTCGACGAACTGGCGACACAGCAAGCAAAACAAGATTTTCACCCGCACAAAACGATGTTGTGCGTATGGTGGGACTGTGAAAACATGATCCACTACGAATTGCTTGATCGGAACCAAATAGTGAATGCGGAGGCAACGTCCAACAAAAGCAATGACTCAACAGTGCTATCCAGTAAAAACGACCTGATCAGCGACATGGCGTTCTTCCGCAACACGACAACGCCTGCCCTCACATCGCCAATATGACAAAGGGAGCAATTCATACGCTTGGCTGAGAAGTGCTGCCACATCCTTCGTATTCTCCTGACTTGGCGCCTTCAGATTTCCATCTGTTCTGATCCCTCTGGAATGTATTGCACGTCATTTCGTTAAATGATGAGGTGACGTGGAACTCAAGGACAGTCTCTTCGAGCCGAAACCAGGTGATTTCTACCGTCAAGGCATTGAACAGCTTGTTGATTATTGATTAATTTATTGTTCATTTCTTATTTATTTATTTTTGTGGAAACCTAAATTTAAAAAAAAAGCCAACCCAATAAAAGAACTGAGGATTTACATTTTTCTCCTCATAAATTTCAACCACTTGAATTAAAACCCCCTGACTGGCAAGGATGGCCTAGAATATTTTTTGCTACTTCTTTAAGTATATATATATATATATATATGTGTGTGTGTGTGTGTGTGTGTTATCTTGAAATATGTCCAAGAAATTAAGGCAGTACATAAATCCAGGTAAGAAGTATCAGGGACATTTTGTCATTTAATTCAAGAAACTGCTCTTTTCTCATAACCGTTTCGGAAAATTTGAGCTTTCACAGCGAAACCCTGAATCGCTCAGAGGGTTTTTGTTAATTAAAGTTATAAGGTATTTCTCCCGCCTTCCTAGCGTGCCTTCGTGGTGTAGCGATTCTGCATGCTGGGCCGGTATTTCAGAGGTCCGTGGTTCAATTCCCAGCGAAGGCGGTTGCTCATTTTTCATCTTGCCTGCTTCCAGAAAATCCTAATGTCTCTACAGTGGCGCCCGAACTAAAAGGGTGTTGGATGAGGATTCTCCACATTCAGGATTTGGCGATTAGGTACCCTAAAAAAAACCCAGTCGCCCTTTCAAAGGGGGAGTATATAAGGTATTTCTCCCGCCTTCCTAGCGAGCCTTCGTGGTATAGTGGTCAGCACACTGAGCCGGTATTTCAGAGGTCCTTGGTTCGATTCCCGGCGAAGGCGATTGCTTTTTCAATCACTCTTGATTTCAAAATATACCTAATGTCTCTACAAAGTTACAAAATGAATTTTGAAACGGAATACCAAAATCAAAACAGTCAATTTTGTTTCTGAATGTAACATTAAAAAGGGTGAGGGGAGAGAGAAAAGGGAGAAAAGGAAAGAACAAATACCTGCTTCTTAATAGCCGGAGCTATGTTCAACTTCCTGTCTTTCAGAATTACATCAGCCTAAAAAATTTAATCCATTAATACGATGTAATATTGTGAACTAATGAAAACTTTTCAAGCAACTTCTTATGCGATCAGGAAAGCAATTTTATAAAATTTCTTTAATAAAATTCTGTAGAATGTTCTACACGTAAAATTAAAATCCAGAAACTAATTACTTCTCTCTGTATTCTTCTCGCCTCTTCTTCTGTTTCAAATGTCACGAAACCATACCTGAACAGAGAAATTTATTTATAAATTTTGCATAAAATAATAAAATAAATTAATTAAATGTGCTTACATCTATATATATATAAGAGTCTTAAGTGTTTGTCGCCGATAGTTTATTGGTTGCTTGCGTAAGTGCATGTTGTAAATTGTTTTATTCCCCGTGCAGTGCAGCGCGTGACGAATATTACCATAAAGCTAAGCCGGAAAATTAAAAATACGTGCATTTAACATTTAATAAATAAATTTAACATATATAATAGAATTCGGAAATATGCAACCGGCAAAAACCGGCAAAGATGAAAAAACAAATGAAATGAAATAAATAAATATCTTTATTATATGCGGCTTAAGTGTATGTTTGTCGCCGATAGTTTATGGGTTGCTTGCGTAACTCTAATAGCCAATGGGATGAAGTTGCCACGGCACAGGGTTGCCGTTTTAATTGAGAAGTACACAATTTCCTGTAAAACTTGCCTTTGCTATGACCATCCAGAAGTCTCAGGGCTAAACGCTTCAGCGTGTTCGCATTTTTTTACCTGAGCCTGCATTTGGACATGGTCAACTTTATGTCGCCTGTTCAAGGGTTCGTGAAAAAAACGGACGTAAAATTAAAAATAATAGATGGTCCTCTGCAAGGCAAGCTTAAAAATGATGGAAAGATCTACACAAGAAATGTTGTGTACAATGTTGTGTGCATGTCTTTGACATGTGAATTAACATTTGATTACTTAAATCACCTTTGTTTATTGAGCTAGCGGTGGCTCTTAAGAAATGTATCGCCAGTGGTTTCCTTCATTGCACTCTACTTTAAGCAATTACGGAAGTAAAAGGGGGAAACCCCGTGGGGCAGTAAGCAAAGGGGCGCCCTCGCCGCCTGTCCTGGGTTATTCAGTTTGAATTAGCAGACACCTTTGCACAAATCATTTTAATTTCAATTTATAATATCTAGAACAGCGGTCATTTCGTATGACCTAGCTTTCTAGTTATATACAATTGATGTTAATCCAAAGAGACCAGTTATTTTTTTCAAACTTCGTGTAAATAAGAATGTAGGTGATACTGAGTACCGTTGTTTATTTATCTTTTTAAAAATACTTTTAGTGGGATCACCATGAAGGGCTTTGCAGTGAAGCCTTTTTTCATGACGACCTCCTACTTATTTCCAAAATACGCATTCTATTGCTGCATTTTGGTACCAGTAAGCACAGTTCTATTATTAATAATAACAGAGATCCGAAAGAAGAGGAAAATAGTTGTCTACTTCCCTCAGGTTCAGTTTTAATACCAAAATAGTCCTTTAATTTTACAGTTGCTATACATCTTTCTAAATGTAGTATTTCATCGAATGATTTATAACCAGATAACACTGCTGAATTAAAGCATTTTTTGCAAAGTTAATATTTCCTACAGTATTTCTCAAATTCAAAAGCAATTTATGAAAATTTTTTTAGGTAACTGAATTTTACACACTACACCCCCCCCAGAAAAAAGTTTCTAAAAAATTTGAAATATAAAACTATATATATATATATGTGCGTATAATATATTCAGGAGCAGGAATTTAGATGGCGTAGAAGTGCTGATCCATAATGACTAGGAAATTGGAGGCGAAGGCAGATTAAATCTTCAGTTTTACTTTCCGCAGCATGTTGCGACTGCATACAAGTCGGCACATTTAATGTGCCTGTTCCAAAAGGCTTACATTTTTAATAACTTTATAGCAAGAAAGCAGCAGTAGACAGACAACAGTCTAGCTAGGCCAAAGCGTGGAAAGCAAGTGCGTAATGTTCAGAATGAAATCTCAAGTCAGACTTAGTTTTGGTTCTCAAAGGATTTTGATTGGACAGTTAATATTGTTATAAAATTATTACTGGCTAATTGAGTTTTAGTTCCATTTACATCATCATTAATTATGTAAGAATCATACGACATAGAATAGCCTCGAAATGACGCAGTGCAGAGAGAGGTTACTATTTTTAGAATAGAGAAGGGAAATTAATTTACGCTGCTAATTTAATCTTTTACATATATGGAATTTTCTTTATTTTCTTACTTAGAATCTTTATTTTTCTTACATATATACATAGAAACAGAGTTTTCAGTTAATTTTTTTACATTATATACATTATGCATTTATAAATAAATATATATATATATATATTTCAAACTACTTTTCCTGTGCATTTTGCGAAATCCCTGCCTAAAACGTATATCTGTAACACACCATTACACGATACCGAACGGATTTCTTATCCCTCAAAAATACAGTATAACTGGCTTATAACCAACCCTGGTTTATAGAGGAAATCGGAAATTATAAATGTCCATGGGAATGCTTGGTTATTAATATACTGGAGTCTTTGGGAGCATAACTCGCTTTTAACGAGCCAAAACGCGGTTATACCGAGCAATACTTTTGTGATTCATAAAATTTCTATTGACTTCTACCTGCCCAGCACATCTAATTCTTTCTTGCAAAGATTCCTTTAATGTTACGAAGTCAACCGAAAGATGGCGAAAATCTTGCGAACACCTTTTTCATCTTGTGGAGCGCAAGTGCATCCCACGACAGACGGAGACTGCTGACTAGACAGAAGTTTATTCTGCGTAAGAGTATTTTGATTTGCATTCATACAGTACGCTCGTCAAATATTATCTTGGAATATCGAAACGTAAAATTTTAGCAGATGACGAAAATGGAAGGATTTTACGGGAGTTAGAGGATGGCGTAAAAAATTCCAAAATCTGCAGAAAGTATAATTTATCTCCTTCTATTGTTTCAACACGGTTAAAGAAGAAAGAAAAATGAATAGCTGAGTTCGATCCATGTCAGAATGTCTGTAAACATTTGAAAAAATGTGCTAAAGAGGATTTGGATGAAGCTGTTTTAAAGTGGATGAAGATGCCAAGATAAATCATGCAGGGAGACATCGAGTCTCTCAGATGTCTAATCACTTTACGTTAAGCGCAGATAATAGATACATTCAAATAGGAACTGACGTTTACAGTCAATAGTTCAATGAAAATGAAAAACCAGTTTATAAATTAAATGATAACAATAATCATTTAAAAAAAAGGGATATTTTTATATAAATAAAAGAAAGCTTACCCTTTGGAAACGCCCGCTCTATCAAGTATGATCTTTGTCGCCTTAACATTTCCGTACGATGCGAAGAGAGAATGAAGTTCTGATTCTGTAGTCTAAAGAAAACGTATTCAAACCTCTTAATACTTTTCGAATCACTTTAAAATTTGTTTAACAATTAAAACAATATCTGAAAGCTGTATGACTAGGACTTTCGCCCTTTCCAAAAAATGTTTCCGCATTTTAATACAGCTGAAAAATAATTTTAAAACTTCTTTATACATACTAAAAGCAACAAAAATAATATGAAATAAAATTTAGAGGCATAATTCTTATTTAATTGAAGACGCGCTTGAATATTTCTCTCAAAATTTTGGCAATTCTGTGGAATCGGACTAAGCCTAAATAAGACTCATTTAAAACCTCCGAAATGGAAGACTGAAAGAGAAAAACATGAACGGATCTTTTGGTACTTATTTTACAAATTTAATACGAAATGATAAAATACAATCTTTTTCATCCTAAATCCATTTATAAAAAGCTAATTTCAATAAAGCCTTTAAATAATTTCAGGAACGAGGATTTAGATAAACTTTAAATCTTTATAAGAAGACTTTTTCACGAAATGCAACTCTTAATTTTCCGGTTTATGATGCTTCAAGACTAAACAGCCGAGCTTTAGCGCACTTTTCCAAACTTTGCTTTCAAAATTAGCAGCCAATTTACCCCTTTGCCCTTTCATTGTCTCCCTTTCTTTTTCCTTAAAAAATTACGTAAACGTCAAATTTTGTAACTGCAAGTCTCAAACAAATTGCGTTAAGTCCAGCATATCTGTCGAAAAAATTACGTAAGCGTGCAGTTTTTGCACAGGTGTATTAATGACTAATACATTGCAAATATGAAAAATTTTTTTCACACTAAAACTTAATAGCATTAGTAAATAACAAAAAAATTAATGCTTTTAAAAATAAATTTACAATAGTAATATGTTCATTAATATGCCTTCATGAAAAAGAATTAAAGTCATTCTTAATCAATCTTATAAAGGAATCTTCATGGTTATCAATCTGTTTTTCACTCTACTATACCTATTTCATCCAAGCAAAATTATATTAAACGCTCAAGTTTTGAAACGATCACGTAATATCAAATACTCACGCTGGCAGCAATTCCTCCAACAAATATCCTGTTCGGTATGAGAGTTCCAAATTTCGGGGCATTTGATGCTACTGGGGAAGGCGACAGAGAACCTGATCCTTCCGCACTCGATGTGGACTGAAAAACAGACGCACATCATGAAGCAATGCATTTTAACACATTGAGAAAACAAAATCAGCCCTCTATAGCAATTTAACAAAAACAACACAAGAAACAGTATTCTTTGGCTTTAACGCAAAAAAAGCATAGCGTCATCATCTTTGCCTGCTGAGCAAATCTCAAATATTGATACCAAAAACTCTAATGCGGATACCACATGACTTCCTTGTACGGAATATTAAATTATACGCAGTTTTTTTGCTGAATTTCATTTAAACTTATTTCCCCGAATTTCATTAGAGATAGATTTTTCATTCAATTAATTCACTTCTCACTTGGCGGTAACGCAAAAATGCATAAAACTTAAAAACATCCTCATTAAAAATTGTAAAATATAGAAAGAAATAAAACACCAAACTCAGTTAAACCAATTAAAAAACATTTTTTACAATTAAAATTAAAGTTTCTACGCAAAAACAAGCAAGTGGCCAGCAGGCAACTAGGCAGATTTTTCGGTGCACAAAACTGAAAGTTTCCTTTTGGTCCCACTCCGCAAAAAAACAATGAAGATGCAGAAGCTGACTTAATTCACTATTCTGTTAAGTTTCAAATGTACGGCTGCTAGGGTAAACAAAAATTAGGCGTAGACAATTTAGACTTAAACAACTATTAAATTGTTGATAATTCTACAACTATTGCATGCAGATTAACTGAAGAAATACAAACCTTAACCGGAAGAATAGAATAACATAATTCAATCATTTTTAAAGCAAAAACCGCACAATTTACCAACATATAAATATAAAAAAGAACTGAGCTGACCGAGCCGAGTAACAAAGTGGGTAGACGTCACAAAAAAATCTCTTCTGAATCCATTTTAAAGCAATGTTACAATTCGTTTGAAAAAAAAAAAAAAAAAAAAAAAAAAAAAAAAAAGTCTTTATCCTTTTACTCCTTGTACGAAGTAAAAGGAAGTATTAATCGCGAAAAGTTTCAGGCAGCATATTTCAACGAAAATATCCATTTGGACCCGCTATCGAATGCAATTTAACGATGTTTTGCGTGATATCTGTACGTAAGGACAGAATAAAACACTCTTTTCCTTCAAAAAATTATAAAACTGCTTAAAATTAATTCGAAGAGAATTTTTCGTTGCCGTCTGCACGAACGTATGTACGTACGTGCGTGCGTACGTACGTATCTCGCATAAACTCAAAAACGAGTAGCCTCAGAACGTTGAAATTTTGTATATAGGACTGCTATAAATGTAGATGTGAACCTCGTATTTTGGTTGCAATCGGCCGCCCAAACGTATATAAATATATTTATATATATATCCACTCTATTACCCGGCTCAGTGATCTCAGTTCTTTACTCTTATATGTTTGTAAATTGTACATTTTTTGCTTTAAAGATGATTGAATTATGTTGTTTTTATCTTACGGTTAAGGATTTTATGCCTTTAGTAAATCTGTGTGCAATATTTTTAGAATTATCAGCAATTTTAAAGTTGTTTAATTGCCGCTAAGCCTGTTTTTAATGGCGGCCATTGATGTTTACATTTGAAACAGGAGACTAGTGGATTTTTTGCCAATCTAGAGAAACTTAGCTTCGCAACAACAAAGATAATGCATTAATTTATTATTGTAATTTTTAATATAGATATTTTGAGTTTTTATGTATTTTTGCCTTCTCACGAAGTGAGAACTGAATTAATTCAATGAGAAATACTCAGTTGTCTGCGAAAAACTGTTTCTTTTTTGTTTTGTTTGCTTAATTTCTTTTATGCATAGTTCTAGCTTTATTATAGTATTTGAATAGAACATGTGGCAACGATTAGATAATTCTTTAAATGATATACATTTTGTGCATTCTGAGTTATAATATGAATGAAATATAATACTGTTAAGTAAGCCTAGCGCCAGAGTGTCGCTATGGTAAACAAAGTGAATTTTAAAGAATGCATTTATTCTATTGTGGTTTATGCGCTATCGACGAAGTAGGTTTAATTCAATCTAATAAGTTTAAATAAAATACTAGAAAAAATGCGTATAATTTAATATTCCGTATGAGTATAAGTCATGTGGTGTACACATCAAATTTTTTTATGTACAGATGTCAAGCAAAAATATCGTTAAATTGCATTCGATAGCGGTGAAAATGGTTTTTTTCATTGAAATATGATGCCCGGAATTTCTCGTGATTACAATACATCCTTTACTTCATACAAGAAAGTAAAAACGAGTGGTTAACACTTTTCAAGATTTTTGAAGAGTCATCATACCTAAAAACATATTCCAAGGGAAAATACTGAAGACGAGCTGAAACGTACCGCACCTTCATATCAAACAAAAATGTGGCCGCGAAAGAGGATCTTCTACTGCAAGCAACGAAAAGGTTACTAACTTCAAAAAGAAAACCTCCTCCTGATCTACAAGTTCTTGAAGTGGATGGTGGTCGTACAGATGTCCGAAATTTGTTGGCAGTTGTTGTTGGTATAGGACTCAATAAATTAGCAACATGAAATTAAAAAAAAAAAAAAAAAAAAAAAAAAAAATATTTTTGTAAGAAGTAAAATATGTATTGTAATCGAAAAGAATTTCGGGTGTCATATTTCAACGAAAATATCCATTTTAACCACTCTGTGCATCTCGCATAACTCAAAAACGAGTAGCCTCAGAACGTTGAATTTTTTTCATGGGACTGCTAGAACATGTAGTCGAGCACCTCCCCTTTTGCTTGCAATCGGCCGCACTAAACATATATAAATATAAAAAAAAAATATAAATGTACATGTACATAAACCTGTTCTGTTACCCGGTTCGGTGAGCTAAGTTTTTTTATTCTTCTCTGTTGCTAAGTTGCGCATTTGTTACTTTAAAATGGTTGAATTATGTGATTCTTATGTTCCACTTAAGATTTTTATACCTTTAGTTAATCTGCATGCAATGGTTGCAAAATCATAAACAATTCAAAATTTGTTAAAGTGCTGCTAAGCCTATCGAAACCACCATTTGTTTACATTTAAACTCTTAATGGAAGGGTAAATTAAGGCAGTTCGTGCAACAAATTCAGTGTCTTTTCCAGCGTGGGACCAAAGTTTCGTGCATTGAAAAAGCTGGATCCCTGCCCGTAGGCCGCATTGCTTGTTTTTTGGGTAGAAACTCTAATTTTAATTCTAAAAATTGTTTTAACTTTTTTTAACAGTAGTTGGTGTTTTATATTTTTCTGTATTTCACAAATTTTAACGAAGATGTTTTGAGTTTTTATGTATTTTTGTCTTACTGAATTGTTTGAATGAGAGATATATCTGCAATGAAATTCAGCAACAAAATGTATATAATTTAATAGGCCGGACAAGGAAGTCATGTGGAGTCCATATCGGATTTTTCGAGTTCTAATAAAATGTCTTTTACACGCTTTGTTCGTATTTGTAATACTTTCTCCAAGATTTAGAGGTAAGTTGCTAAAGAGTTAGTTAAGTTAGTAAAGAGTGCATGATATAGCAAACACATTAAACACTATAAATTTTGAATAAAAGCGGACTGTTTACAACTGTAAAATAAAATAATGAAAACATAAACGTAGGAAGTACAATTAATTCTTCGACAGTAATAATGCTAGAATATAAGAGAGAAAAGAGAAAAAAATAATATTTTATAACTATCAAAATTGATTACTATGTTACTGTTATTTACAGCTCACTGCGCATCGTTCTTTATCCTATGAAAACGGACGCAGTAGAAAAATACAGTTGCCCAACGCTAATGTACCTGCTCCAGGCAACCACCACTTCTTTTTATATATTAGCTTCCTTTACTTGTTAGTGATAAATAAGGTAATTATTTAGAATGTTGCCCAAAACTGTAGTTTACAGCGCAGTTAAAAATACATGATAAATAGCAGTGATGCTAGGGCTGCTGAGTGCTCACTTAGCTTTCGTTTTCAATGCGGGGGGGGGGGAGGAAAGAAAAAAAGAAAAGAATTTCAAATTACGTCCAAAGGGGCGTTTTTTTTAACATTTTGTGTGTTACATTTATTTATTAAATATCACGTTCTTCGCACTTAAAACATAAAATTCAGTTCAACAGCAATATCGCAAAATAGTTTTAATATCCTTTAGAATTTCCGATATAGAGACTCGCGCGCTGGAGATAAAAATATGTTTTTTTTTTTTTCCTGTACAACGTTGCCATGGCTCGCTTTGAAATCCTTGAGTTTGTTAATCAAAAATTCGTTAAAGTTTTACAAAATATGAAATCGACAACAAAACAAATTCCATATTTCAAATTTGGTCTTCCACATGCCCATATTCGTAGGAGGATGACGTCATTCAAAATTCGATGGCTCTATGTACCGTTGTTTTATCACAATGTGAGAAATATACATACATTTATGTAGATTTTTCACTATTTAATTTCTTCAAATATAATGCAGGAGTCTAACGTTTGGTGTGAACAGTTTGAAAAGTGATTCGCCGTTTATAGTGATTCAACGCAAAATCGCAAAACGAAAACAATAGTCCTTCAGGGACAAAGCCACTTTGGACTAAAAACGTTGTAAAAGTAGCACGTTTGTAAATGTAGCTACAATCAAAACTTAAAAGAAAACTTTAACTTAAAAAACGATCTTCTCGCTCAAATATAACGTCATAAGAACGCAAATTAAATCATAAATGCGTGTAATAAATTTTCAAGCATACTGCAGAGGATGCAAAATATAGTTAACACAGAAAACAATAAAAAAGAACTACTTTCTGCAAAAACTCAGACCAATGGTGCGATGAAAGAAGGATGTGGACGGCAGAATGGAAGGAAATTGTCTTTACTGACGAGTCACGCTTCTGTCTGCAACACCACGATGGTCGGATTCGAGTCTGGAGACACCGTGGAGAGAGGATGCTGAACAGCTGCGTTATGCACCGTCACACTGGTCCTGCACCGGGTATTATGGTATGGGGCGGTATTGGATATCACTCTCGCACTCCTCTAATACGCATTGCCGGTACTTTAAACAGC